TCCTACAGTGTTTCTCTTTCCCTGAGTACTTTTCCTCTTCTGTATGTTCAAATGGGAGTCTCTGATTCCTACTCAAAGCTTTCCTGAGTTACCTCATTATTTATGGCTGTTCACTTATTCTGAGGAGCAAAACACCAGAAAACTGAGCTGACGAGGCAGGTCAACGAGTGGGGACACTGTGGCTGAGCAGGTAAGACTGTTCCCCAGCTGTTAGGACCAAGCACCTGTTCTGTAATAGAAGTCGGCATAGTCACAACGCAGTGATTCTGCCCGGGCTCCAGATGCAGACTCCCTGGGTTCATGAAGAAACCAGGTAAACAGAGCCCAGCATGCGGCGGGTGCTGTATGAGTTGTTCAGCCATACTTTGGAGGCATTGTGGGTTCCGTTCCAAACCACCGCAATAAAGCAGACACCGCCATGAAGTGAGTCACACACTTTCAAGATTCCCAGTGCACATAAAAGTTATGTTTACACTACACGGTCGTCTACTCAGTGTGCATTAGCATTATGCCTAAACAGACAAGGTACCTACTTTAAAAATATTTTATTGCTTAAAAAATGCTCTCCATCACCTGTGTTTTCTGTGAGTAATCTTTTGGCTGGTAGGAGGTCTTGCCTTGATGATAATGATGATGGTGACTGCAGAAGAGTTCAGTGGCTGGGGAAATTTCTTAAGTGAGACATCAATAAAATTTGCCCTATCCATAGACTCTTCTTTTTAAAAAAAAAAAAAATCTTTGTAAGGTGAGATATTTTTTTTTTAAAGTTTTTTTAAAGTTTTATTTATTGAGATAATATTTATGTACAACACAGTATGTCTTAGGGGTATAAGTTTACAACTTTACAAATGAATGTTATTTCACCAAACTGACCACCAAGTCCAGGAACCCTCCACTGGACCTCCTCCACCCTTGGCTCCCACCCCCTCTTGTTTTCATACTATAATTTAATTTCTTCATGGGAACTCAGTATGGAAGAAGCTGTCATCTTTCAGGAATTTTCATGATGCTGGCATGGAAACATTAGCTATCATTTGGGTTCATTATTTAATATCAGGTGGGTAATATTGGAATGGTGTTGCTGGGTAGAATTTAAGAATCTTTAGGAAGTGAATGACCTCAACTGCTAAATGGCCTTGTAGTTCTTAAGATTTGTCCTATCCCTTCTCAGAGCCCACTGGGGAAAATTAAAATGGCCTGCAGTGGTCCCAGCAGACACACAAAGCACCAGGGGGACTTGGAGGAGAAAGCGGCCAGCTTCTCAGAGAGGGTCTTTCCCTAGGGAGCAGCTCCTCGTCTGTGGATCATGGGCATAGCTGCTGTCTCCAAAGAACTGGAGAATAAAGATTTGGCCCATCGTATATGGTAATTCCATCCAAATTTCTGTCAACATACCTTCACGGACCAACAAGTACTGGAAAGACAACTTCTGTGTCTCTTCTCATCCCTTGCCCGTGCCTTCCCAAGGAGGCAGAGGAGCTCTCTTTGGTCAATGGGAGCAATGTTCAGAGGAGAAGGCGTTAAAGACCACAGGCGAGTCAAAGGTCTTTGCAGAAAAGCCATAACTAACAAAAGCAGGAGAAGGTTAGAATATGAAAAGTCTCTGTTGTGAAAGCCCTAGTGGACTGAGACAACCATAAACTGAGTAATACACTGTGAAGGCCAAGGAGGCCGGGGAACTCCAAGGCAGAAGGTCAGGTCGATACATCTGAAATTATATGAAGGGCAGCCAGACACCCCCAGCTCCTGCGATGGATTAGTGCTTCTGTCTGAAAGAAAAAGGGAGGGAAAGAGGGATAAATAGAGGGAAGAAAGAAATAAAGAGGGCGGCATGGAGGAGGGAGGGAGGGAAACTGCATCATATCTCACCCCTAGTTCTACCTTCTAAGTTACAACAAGTACAGGCATGGAAGAACGTGATAAACAACCAAAATGAAGTTCAAACAGAAAACCCCAAAATGTCAAAAATTCCACAGGACAGATGACTTGATTTCTTTAGTAAATAACAATGAATAAAGGTAAAGGAATTATAATAGACTAAAGTCTGATAGACATAATCAATCAAATAGACTGCATAGACCTTATTTAGTTCCTGTTTTTAAAAAAAAAAAACAGCTGGAAAGACACTTGTGAAGTTCTCAGGGGAAGGAAAAGATGGACTAGATGTTAGGTAATATAAAGGAATTACTTTTTATTTTGTTCAGGTTTTGTATGTTTTAAAAGAGACCGATGTTGAAACTTTTTAAAGATTTATTTATGCATACAAGAGTTGGGGTACAGGCCACAGATGGGATGGGTGAGAGGATTCACCAAAGACAGAGTGTGGAGTAGAATGGGCAGATCTACTGAAATAGACTGCTGAGGGCAGCAGTGGGGAGACAGAAGAGGTCTGCTGTGCCCTGTGAGTCAGCTTGCTGGCTGGGGATCGAACTTGTGCTGCAGTGGCTGCAGACAGCTTCACAGGACTGCATCTTAACCCCTTGGGCCACCAGGGAGGACCCTGATGTTGAAACATTTTTAGGTGAAACTAGTAGGTTTTCTAGGATTCACTTTAAATACTCTGGGGGAAAATGTGGGAAGGCGTGCCTGAAATAGGAAAGGTGGTCTGTTGATTATCAGTGAAAATAAGCACGGGCATGTGAGATCAATTTGTTGATGTCTCTATTTTGTGACTGAAAATTTTCATGATAGAAATTTAAAAACAAATTTGGAACCGTTTTCCACTGCACTCAGTGCAGGGAACTTGACTTCAGTTCTTACGCAGTGAGCACACCCACTTTGATTCCCTCTCTGCAGACAGTCAGAGCTCTCTGGGCTTTTGTTCTAGTACTTTCTCTGCCTACAATTGGATGTATGAAGTGAGGTCATTCAGGTCCCACTCTAGCCTCGAAAGTATCATCCATCTCTTTTTTGGCTTCAGTTCCAAACTGCATTCTTCAATACAATTAGTCCAGGACTCTTTACTTTGGAAAATAAAATTGACTCTTTGAATCTAATTTAGCTGGGATCTTTGTGATTATGTTCTATCAGCAGACCCGGGAATGGCAGACAGTTCTCTAGACCTGACCCCCGACCACAGGAGCAGGTCAGGGAGGGGAATGACAGAACTGCTGAATCAAGGGAAGGTATGTTAAGAATAAAGGAAAACTGGGCATGTTCACCAGTGAATAGGAACAGATATGTTAACCATTTGAAAAAAGTGGGATTACGAGTTAGAGCAAGTCCCTAAGAAAGCAGAATAAGGACCAAAAGATGTGGGTGTAGCATACAAGGCTCCTTACAAGAGCAGGACACTCGCTTGCCCTGGGGCAATAGGTAAAAAATCACAAGGTACGGGGAGGGGGAAGGGGGGGTGTGTTGACTGATGTGCTTTGTGTCCCAGAGACTGATTAGTGGAACACCTTGTTAATAAGATTGGAGCCATGGGTGGGGGGTCTGAATATTTCAGCAGACTCACTCTCCCTAAAGCCCTAAATCCAGTTTTCAATTTGACCCACCCTGTTCTCTGTCAATAAAAAGGCCTGGATCTGGTTCTTCCAAGGCATCCAGCATTACACTGCCTGCCCCACAACCTCCCTCTCTTTTCTGTATCAGTGTGGTGTTGCCAACACAACTGAAAGACACAGTAGGAAAATTAATGTCAGAAAGAGAAAGGATTTATTGATCTGTAAGTTTGGTGGGAAGATGGAAATGAATGAAAGAAGCTATGGAGGTTGAGGTGGCTTTTCTCTGGTGGGTGAAATCTCTGAAGGAGGAAGGAATTGGATGGGGAGGCAGGAAGGGCTAGAGGAACAGCAGCAGAGGTAGGAGACAGGCCTCAGCTGGTGATAGCACAGGATCTGGGCTGCGTGGGGAGAGGTCTTCCAGGTCTTCCAGGTACTCAGTGGGACTTTGGGTACATCTTGTTGCTGTGCAATAGCATTGGTGGGTGAGTTGGGGTCTCTAGGGAAATTGCTCATTCCGGATTGTATAGAGGCCCAGCAGAAGATGGCTCAGGAGGTGGTGGATGGAGAGAGGCAGCATCCAGAGAGACCATGGCTTTCTTGGTCTTTGCTTTCTTTGTCCTTCTCCTGGCACTCCTGCTAAGTGCTCCTGAATAACATCCTCTCTCGAGTCTCAGTCAGATGCCCTGTCCTAGAGGACCTGAAAACTACAGAGAATTCCCACAGAGCCTTTTCTTCTATTTAAATCATCTAATCCAGTCTTATTCTATAATTGATTCTTAAAATTATTTTTGCTCTCTAAGCATGGAGAACACAAGCTTCCTGAAAATATATAAGCTTCCTGCAAATATATAATGGTGGTAAAGCTGCATTTGCACAGAAAAGATTACCATCCTATTCCATGATTTGAAATTAGTTTATTAATTGTATCAACACATTTCCTAGGGCTTTAAATATCCAGACTAGCATTTTCTCAAATATTTACACATAGTGATAATTACACACACAATTCAAAAATAGCTTTAGCTATTACAATAGTGATATTTTCATGATAATCACAAAAGAGAAAAGTATGTAATGAGAAGTAGTGTTTCCTGGAATATTTTCCCACAGAAATAAAAAGTGGTAGATTTTGTTTAATATCTAATATAGAAAAGATTTTTAAAAATATGTTTTCTTAAAAATGACCTCTTTTCCCCAGGATATATTGATAATCACTAATACAACTTGATTGTTTTTACAAATTCAGTAACAACTCTTAATCCGCAGCAACACAGATCTAACACCCCAAGTATCTCACAGGTATCACGGTACCTCTTCACCTGGACATGTCTCCCTTGTCTCAACCATATCACACAGATTTGCTTTAATCTACCAAACTGAACACATCTGGGGGAAAACACAGTTTAATCCGCTCAAAGCAAAGTTTGAAAAAATAATTTTAAAGGTAATACATGTAAAGAAGTGAATGTTGAAAAAAAAAATACAAATAATGCCTTGAACAAGTTGGGGATCCTGTGCAGTCAGGCTGCGCCAGTGCGTGAAAGACAGTGAAATACTAGTTTTCTCTTATCTCAGAACAGCTTGTGGGGAGATAGTGGGCAAGTGGGTGACCTTCAGTTTCCCTAAGAAGTAGGTGAGACTCGATGTTCTCTGAGATGCCTTTGAGTACCAATGTTTCCAATTCTACATCTGGATCCTTTCCTGAAATGCACTGTCCTATCCTTATATTTACCCAAGAAAGGATCTCACTATGTGGCCACAAATGAGTCCCAGCTGCCCCGTCCTGACTTTGGCACCTGATCACCTCAATACCCAATATTTATTGACAGTCCCCCTGAGGGAGGCTTTCTGGACTTCTCAGAAGTTACAGGAAAAATATCAGCAGGCTTTTCTTTTGGGCTGAGAAACAAAGCGGGTTAGGGCTGGTAGGAGCAACTGATTTTCTGGGCTTTCTCCGGGTCCCCACTTGCGCTGCATCTCACCATGGAGCAGACGGCCTGCTGAAAGTTGTCCCCAACCACCACATACAGTAACAGGTTCCCGAAGGTGTTGAGGGCAGCGAGTGGCCGGGAGACGATGTAAGCTTCGTGGATCTGCTTCTCCATGGGGCAGCTGACAGGCGAGATTCAATCCGAATGACCCTCAGGATATGGAAGGGAAGGAAACACACATAAAACACCAGGAGCAGCAGGATGGTTAGCCTCCGGGCTTTTTGCTTCAGGCAGCTGCGAGTCTGAGGTCCTTGGTTTAGGGTGTAGATAATCATCGTGTAGCAGAGTGTCACTTATCACCAGGGGGAAGCAGAACGTGGTAGCTGTCAAAATGAGATTGTACCATTTGATGGTTGTGAGGTCATCAGAACTACTGAGGTCCAGGCAGGCGGATCTGTTGGTCCTGGTGGTGGAAGTGATCAGAAAGGTCATGGGAATAATAGCCACCAGAGAAACCATCCACACCACCACGCAGGCCACCACGGCCCACTGCGTTTTGTGAATGGAGAAGCAGCTCATTGGGTGAATGATCACAATGTAGCGGAAGATGCTGAAACAAGTGAGGAAGAGGATGCTGCCGTACAGGTTGAAATGGAATCCAAAGCGGATGAACTTGCACATAAAATCCCCAAAGATCCAGTTTTCGCCGCCGGCATAGTAGTGAATCAGGAAAGGCAGGCTGGTTAGGTACAGCAGGTCCGTGCAAGCCAGGTTGAGCATGATGATGGTGCTGCTCTTCCAGGGCCGCATTTTGAAGATGTACGTGGAGATTGCCATTGCGTTCCCCGGAAAGCCCACCAGGAAGATGATGCTGTAAATAACTGGGAGGTAGTCCCTCTTAAGTGGGATTTTTTCATCAGAGCAATTTCCAATAGCAGCTGCATAATCAGGGAAATCAGAAGCATTTGCAAAACCGTCTAGTGGCTCATTCATGGTTGTTTTTTTCATCTTGCAAGAAAACATGAGTGTTTGAGTTGTCAGAAGGATTAGACCTAGAAGTAACTCACTGATAAAGGAAAACAGAAAAAATTAATGATAGCATCATGACAAAATCACCTTGAACCCAGGGGCCCAACATAGCTTTCAGTAAATATTTGCTAATATAAGTGAAAGAACAAGGAGTTCCATCAGCAAAAGAATGTTCTGAAGGTCTAGTGATGCTTCCAGTATTATTATTTTTTTTATTTTGCTTCTTCAATGACTTTTAAAGTAAGGAACAAGATTGCAATTTTTGTCATTGCCAAATAAACCCCTACTGTGTTATGAAATCATTTTAAACAACAATCATATCAGAAAAGGACAGGTTGTAGGTAGACACAACCCCTTTCTTGTTTTGGAAAAACAGTTCAAGTTGAGATTTAGTGACAACTAGCCAATTTTAAGGGAGGCAGGATTAATGCCTCTTGCAGAAACTTTACCAACAGAATGGTTTCCGTTTCCAAAATACATGTAGACAAAAAAAAAAAAAACAACAGTGGGGGCTGTAAGCAAAGTAGAAGGAGGATATTTCTTTTCTCCAGACTGGATGTTTAAGGATAATGTGATATGTCACCTATTTTTGCTACACCAGTGGATCTCAAGTGTGGAGAGGTTATAGGCCACCCAGAATGAGTGGGATCTTAATATACTAGAAATAATGACCTGATAATCTTCAACATAACAAAAGATATAAATTTGATCACACAAAGGAAGGAAGCACCAAAGATTTGGGAAAGTTTTATAAAGGAAAAAAGACATCATCTCAGCCTTTATTTTTTTCAGAAATTGGGAAGAAATCATGGCTGTTGAGGCTAGCTATAGGAGGGCCGTGTTTGGAGCACACGCAGCATGCAGACTGTGTCCTAATGCCTGCGTGGCCATGAACCTCACAGGTTGGGGTTCCAAGTTCTGTGGATGAATAAGGCAGGATCAGAGCTCTTATCTGTTCAAGTGTCAGCCTGTTCAACCTTCCATCCACAGAGCCTTCTTGCCATTTGATGGGAACAAATAAAGCAGGATTAGTGATGATATGTGATTTTTCGTGGGTACCCGTTAATTTTGTAATAAACCTCTTATCTAACCACTACCCTACCTCCACCAGTCTCCCGGCCCCCCAAACCTTGGGCTTTTCTGGGGATGCTGCAATTCTGGATTAACCTCTTTTCTTTCCTCCTTGTCCCAAGCTACCAGTAGACTGGGGAGATATAGCCTTGGACTCTGACCTCTCATGTCCCCCTCAGGTAAACTCCACAGCTGGGATCTAAAAACTAGGACAGACTTTAACACAAAAATTCATCCTGGTTTTCTTCTGTACAGATTTTAAATTAAAGTGATTTCCTACACATGGAAAACACATCATTTCTAACCCAAATAAATTTGGGAGGTGGGGGAAGAGTTGTCCTCCCTGAACCCCCCAAAACCGCTCCCATTCCAGGTATGTGGCTCTTCTCTCAGTCCCAACTTGCAAATAAGAATCTGCCAGACACAGAAAAGACACACACCATATGATTTAACTCCTTTGTGGTATATACAGAAAACAAACATGAATTACAGAAATCAAAAATAAACTCTTTTTTTTTTAAATTATTATTGGTGCTCTATAACTTTATTTATTTATTTATTTGTTTGTTTGTTTTGTTTATACATGCACTGGGTACAGTCAGAAGCACAGGAGGGTGAGGGAATTCACCAGAGCCAGAGCGGGGAGCAGAGCAGGCAGAAGGACCAAAGTACACTGCTGAGGGGAGCAGCGGGCGGCAGGAGAGGTCTGCGCGCCATGTGGGACCCTCCTCGGGTGGCCGGGGAGCAGCCGGGGATCGAACTGGTGCTGCAGAGGCTGCGGGCAGCTTCGCAACCCATCGCTCAACCGCTGTGCCACCGGGGAGGCCCAAAAATAAACTCTTGAACTATAACACCAATTAGTGGTTAGCAGGAGGGAGGGGAAAGTGGGGTGTCTAAGTCGATTAAAAGGGGTCTATTGTAATTGTAGAGAGAATTATCTGTTGAGTGGTGAAATTAATATTGTAAATACATATATTGGTTCTCCAGGAGGCAAACCTGAAACTTATATACTGTTACAATGCAAAGTTACTTTAATAAAAAGAAAAAATAATTTTTAAAACAAGAATCTGCAATTCAGTTAAGCTGAAAATTATTAGCATTTGCCATGTGATTTCAGCTGTTTGATCTTTGGGAGAATCAAAGAAAATATATAGACTCCTCAGGAAAAAATGCACCCATGCATACAAAGAAATTTTATATCTAGTTTGGAGCTTTAGAGACAATCCTAAATTAGTTCAATAAATCCACAGCATCAGAACAAACTATGTAAAAAAGAACGATTTCCTGGGGAAAGGTTTTGTGGGTTATCTTGTTGGGGGAGCAGGAGTTGTGGAGCAAGAGGGTTTGCACGCAGCTGACACCATGAAGTCCAGAACCAGGTAGTGAGCCTCCTTGGACTTGGTATCAATAGATATGAGAGATGCACTCTTGGTCTCCCCAAAGTCTTTAGGCTCAAGATGATTCCAAAGGTCCGGATTTATCCAGCTTTCCTGGAGGCAAAGCTCTGGCCATCCTGGACTTTGGTTTTCCCGAAGTGCGCCGTAGACCCTGCCAGGATTCGGGGTGCTCCTGCTGCCTCCAAGGGAAGTTGGGGGTCACCTCTTTGTCCACCCTCCCTTCCTGCAGCCAAGGTGTGCTGGGGGCTCTATTCCCTCAGGCTTGGGGCCTCCGCATTCCTGAATTTCCGACTGCCCCGAGAATGCGGGTGCCCAGCACCCATCCAGCTCCCTCCAGCCCACGGGGTCGCTCAGATACTGGCGCTCACCTGGCACCTTGACGGCCGCCGCCTGCGCCCTGCGTGGTGGTCTGAGCGGGCTGCAGGGAAGACCGCCCAGCCCCGCGCGCCGGCGCTGCCTCCCTCCGGCCCCAGCTCAAGCCTAAGGCCTCCTCCCTCGCCCAAGCACAGCCACTCGGCGGCAGCTTCCCACTCCTGCGCCCCTGCCGACAGCCTCCATCAGGTGGGTGCCCAGCTGCCCAAAGGGAGCGCGTGCGAAGGAGCAAATGCAGCCTGCAAGGAGATGCAGCCTGCAAATGCAGCTCTTGCCCCGGGAGAATTAGCTCCCAGTGGGGAATGAGCTCCCCTGGTCCATAAATCCCAGCTGCTGGGCCAGAGTTCAGGGCCTTTTATTTCGCTTCTTCTGGTTTTCATTGTTATGCTTATCTTATTATTATTGGGGTCTTAGCTTCTCTGGGAAAATATTTTGCATTAGGAGAAAAATTTCTGTCCAGTCTGTTTTTTTTCTGACATACTTTTTTTTTTTTTTTTTTTTTTTTTATAGAGGCATGCTTTATTTATTTGTTTGCTGGTTGGTTTGTTTGTTTTGTTTATACATGCACTGGGCACAGTCAGAAGCGCGGGAGGGTGAGAGAATTCACCAGAGCCAGAGCGGAGAGCAGAGCAGGCAGAAGGACCGAAGTACACTGCTGAGGGGAGCAGGGGGCGGCAGGAGAGGTCTGCGCGCCATGTGGGACCCTCCTCCGGTGGCCGGGGAGCAGCCGGGGATCGAACCGGCGCCGCAGAGGCCGCGCGCAGTTTCGCAACCCAGCGCTCAACCGCTGCGCCACCAGGGAGGCCCTTTCTGACATACTTTTTACTATGCACCCAGAGTTTCTGAAGTCACCCTTGATAAACAACAATAGAACGTGGAGATAAATACTGCCTTTTTTTTTTTTTTAAGTGAAATTTGTTTTCTTTAACTTGGGGTAGCTTTGGCTCAGGACAGGGAGGACAGTGGACTTGAGGCAGGACTGTGGGGTGGATGTGGTGTGGTGACCAAACCCGAATGGGCAGATCTTATAGCATCTTACCATTTTTAATCACACCCTCAATTCATTATTTGGAACTATTTGCCTATTTTGTTCTAACCCATCCACACAGCCTTTGAACAGACAATGGCTGTTAGATTATTCTACATCAAGCACTGAGAAGACAAGGAAAAGTAAGACAATGTTTCTGCCTCCAGGAATTCGTGTCCTCAAAAAAAGAAACACTTAGTTTAAAAAATGATTATGGTAACTAAAGTGTCATAACCCAAGAGAAAAAGGGATCAGAAAAGACATTCTGGAAAAAAGACATTTGAGTACTTTTCCATGGTGAGCAAATTTCTGGTAAGGAGAAAGTGACTTAAAGATAGTACTTAAAACCAAATATTGAGTTCTAGAATTTTCTGTATTTTTCTAGAAAGGTCTATGAACTCTTTGAATTGATTTTATTTTTTTCTCTCAAATGCTATCAATTCATCAGTCATTTACTTGACTGTAATTTGGGGAGTCTAACTTTACCCTTGGAAGGGACATTTAAAAACCTCCAGTTCTGGAAATGTTAAAGGGTATGGCCATTATGGAAAACAGTGTGATGGTCTCTCAAAAAATTAAAAATGACTTACCAGAGGACCCAGCAACTCCATTTCTGGGCATGTACCTAACAATGGTTTCAATGGTAAATTTTATGTTATGTTTATTTCACCACAATTAAAATGACCACATTAAAGAACTCTAGTCCTTTGGTCTCACTTTATACAAGACTTGAGAGATCCAAGTGTCAAGCCTGAGCTCAGGGCCAGGGAGGCCTGCATAAGGGGGACACACCAGCCCTTGTTCTTTCTGCTCTGTATGGGGGTTGGGGGGGTCTACTAGACTTAAGTGGTGTGTTGGGCCACCATTTTTTGTAACCTGCAGTTCTGCATTCCTATACAAGGTCAGAACTGCCCTGTTAGTCACGGGAGCCAAACCTTACAAAGTACCTTTCAAATCAACCAAAAGCAGAAAGCTTGATGGCTCAGGGAAGTGCATGACAAGGAATGCCCCGGGGGGTGGGGGTGGGGGGTGGGGTAAAGGACTGATGTATGACAAGGACCCAGAAGCTGATCAGTAGCAGAACACCTTACTGATAAGATTGGAACCATGGCCA